TGAAGGTTTGCTTAGGAGGGCTGCTGATTGATGTTTAAAGTCATTTTTGTGTACCAGCCATTGCTTTCTTTTTCCTTCTTTCTTTCTTTCTTTCTTTCTTTCTTTCTTTCTTCTTTCTTTCTTTCTTTCTTCTTCTTTCTTTCTTTTCTTTTTTTTTTTTTTTTTGACAGGCAGAGTTAGTGAGAGACAGACAGAGAGAAAGGTCTTCCTTCTGTTAGTTCACCCCCCAAATGGCTGCTACGGCTGGTGCGCTGCACCGACCTGAAGCCAGGAGCCAGGTGCTTCCTCCTGGTCTCCCATGCAGGTACTGGGGCCCAAGCACCTGGGCCATCCTCCACTGCCCTCCTGGGCTACAGCAGAGAGCTGGACTGGAAGAGGAGCAGCTGGGACTAGAACCGGTGCCCATATGGAATGCCAGCACCACAGGTGGAGGATTAACCAAGTGAGCCACAGCGCTGGCCCCCAGCCATTGCTTTCATTAATTACTGTCTCTGAAGTGTTTGGGTTTACTGGATTGCAGTGTTTCCCTATTCTCCGAAATCAAATTGGTTGTTAAATGTACTCATCTTCTAATAGCTCATCTTACTGTAAAGTGACACCAACACGCCCTTCCATCCCTTCCAACACTGTCCACTTGGCTCTCCTTTTCCTTTCCCACGAAGAGGTGCACTGCACACTCAAGAGGTGCAAAAAGCTGGTGCGACGCCCGGCTTTGGCTGTATGACATCCTGCAGATTTTTAAAGGTCTGATTGATAATTGTGCCAATCTGGGGGGGGGTGGTTAGGAGAAGAGAGGGTTAAATAAACTAAAAGTTCTTAAGACACCTGGGTTTGATACCCACTTTGGGCTGTTGATTCCAGCTTCCTGCTAATGTGCATCCTGGGAAGGCAGCAGTGATGACTCAAATAATTGGGCCCTTGGCATCCTGATGAGAGATCTGGATTGTGTCCCTGGCTCCGTCTTTGTCCCGGCTTGCCCTGGCCATTGGAGGCATTTGGGGAGTGAATCAGCCGATGAGAGTGTGTGCTCCCTATGTCTGTGTACCTGTTTGTCACTGTCTCTGTGTCTCATATGATAAATTTAAAATGAATAAATAGCATGTTAATCGCTTCCATAGGCCTGACACATGTATTGTAACACATTCAGTGATTTTTGTGGTCATTTGTGGTTTTTTTTAATCTTTTAAAAAAGATTATTTATTTATTTTGAAAGATAGAGAGGAAGAGACAGAGATCATCCGTCTGCTGTTTCACTCTACATATAGCTGTGATGATCAGCACTGGGCCAGGCTGGAGCCAGGAGCTTCATCTAGGTCTAGCATGTGGGTGGCAGGGGCCCAAACACTTGGGCCATCTTCCACTGCTTTCACAGGCCATTTATTTATTTATTTATTTATTTTATTTTGACAGGCAGAGAGAGATAGAAAGGTCTTCCTTCCGTTGGTTCACCCCCCAAGTGGCCGCTACGGCTGGCGCACTGCACCGATCTGAAGCCAGGAGCCAGGTGTTTCCTCCTGGTCTCCCATGCGGGTGCAGGGCCCAAGCACTTGGGCCATCCTCCACTGCACTCCCGGGCCACAGCAGAGAGCTGGACTGGAAGAGGAGCAACCGGGACAGAATCGGGCGCCCCAGCTGGGATTAGAACCTGGAGTGCTGGTGCCGCAGGCGGAGGATTAGCCCAGTGAGCCGCGGTGCGGGCCTTCACAGGCCATTTAGCAGGGAGCTGGATCATGAGTGGAGCAGCCAGGACATGAACCAAGGCCCAGATGGGATACTGCCATTGTAGGCAGTGGCTTTACCTACTACATCACAACTCCAGCCCCTATTTGCTTTATTAATGTGGTTATTATTGCTGATATATAGTTATAATTAAATCTGAAATCAAGTTCCTAAATCAGTGTAAGTGTTTAAATGTTTGCTGAAGTTGATTACCTGAACTTCAGCCCTGGCCTGAACCATCCTCTTTCTCAGCAGCTTTGTCCACCTGCCAAGGGATGAGTCCAGGTGATCACACCCAGGTTCTGGAATCTGAACATTTGATTCAAATCCTCTTACACCTCTTATTATTATTTTTTAAAAATTTATTCATTTATTTGAAAGGCAGAGAGAGAGAGAGAGGTCTTCCATCTGCTGGATGGCCACGATGGCCAGAGCTACACAGATCTGAAGCCAGGAGCCAGGAGCTTCTTCCGGGTCTCCCACATGGGTGCAGGGGCCCAAGGACTTGAGCCATTTCTGCTGCTTTCCCAGGTCATAGCAGAGAGCTGGATCAGAAGTAGAGCAGCTGGGTCTCACACCGGCACCCGTATGGGATGCTGGCACTACAGGTGGCGGCCTTACCCGCTACGCCACAGTGCTGGCCCCTCCACCTCTTCTTAGAGAATTCTGGGTACATTTCTGAATCCCTCTGGGCCTCCCTTTCATCACCTGTAAAATGGAATTAATGCCTATCTCCATGAAGATGTTATGAAAGTTAAATGAATTAAAATGTGAATGTATGAGGTGAGAGTACATGGAAAGTAGAATTGAAAAGTGTTTCTTGGCCGGCGCCGCGGCTCACTTGGCTAATCCTCCACGTGAGGCGCCGGCACTCCGGGTTCTAGTCCCGGTTGGGGTGCCTGATTCTGTCCTGGTTGCTCCTCTTCCAGGCCAGCTCTCTGCTGAGGCCCGGGAGTGCAGTGGAGGATGGCCCAAGTGCTTGGGCCCTGCACCCACATGGGAGACCAGGAGGAAGCACCTGGCTCCTGGTTTCAGATCGGCGCAGTGCATCGGCCATAGCGGCCATTTTGGGGGTGAACCAATGGAAAAAGGAAGACCTTTCTCTCTCTCTGTCTCTCTCTCACTATCTAACTCTGTAAAAAAAAAAAAGTGTTTCTTTTGGCCAAAAAATTTTAAATCCATGCACTGGAGAGTCTTCAAAAAATTCATGGAAAATGCATAATAAGGAAAAATGCATGGGTTTCAAATTTTTTGGAGTCTTTGTGTATGCAGAACTAATGTCTGGTGCATAGCATACACTCTAAATATCGGTTACTCTTTGGGGGCTCTTGCTGTGTTTTTTTTTGTTGTTGTTGTTTTTTGTTGTTTTTTGTTTTTTGTTTTTTTTTTTTTGGACAGGCAGAGTGGACAGTGAGAGAGAGAGAGACAGAGAGAACGGTCTTCCTTTGCTGTTGGTTCACCCTCCAATGGCTGCCGCGGCCGGTGCGCTGTGGCCGGCACACCGCGCTGATCCGATGGCAGGAGCCAGGTGCTTCTCCTGGTCTCCCATGGGGTGCAGGGCCCAAGCACCTGGGCCATCCTCCACTGCACTCCCTGGCCACAGCAGAGGGCTAGCCTGGAAGAGGGGCAACCGGGACAGAATCCGGCACCCCGACCGGGACTAGAACCCGGTGTGCCGGCGCCGCTAGGCGGAGGATTAGCCTAGTGAGCCACGGCGCCGGCCTCTTGCTGTGTTTTTCTATTTAATTCTCCAAGGCCTTGCCTTTTAAACAATGTTAATTTGTGAGAGAATACCGCTTCGATTTTTTTTCGGACTGTATCATCATTTTGAGATGTGGTTGAATTAGAGAAAAAATTATGAAATGCCTACTGTGTATTAAGTATTGGGAGGCCTATGTCAATAAGGTATATTCCCTGCCCTACAGGAGTTTATGCTTGTAGAAAAGATTAGGTCTGTTCGGGGGTAGCCATTACATAGCATAGGGTTTTTACTCTATCATATATAAAAAGCAGCTCGGAGAGGGCCCAGAGTGGTTTTTGAATGCAAGGGAGTGAGCCAGGGGGTTTAGAGGCAGTGCCAGTGGGTGTTTCCAGGTGAAGTGAATAAAAGAGGTGGAGCTCACCGCAGAGACACAGGCGGCTACCCTGAGTGTGGGGGAGGCGTGGTGGGGCGAGGGCAGTGTGAGATTAGCGCAGGTGTTTCAGTGTTAGTACTGGGGAGGGGGTGGTAGCACCATTGAAGAAAGGATGGGAAGTGGATTAGGTTTCTGGGACAGAGGTTCTGCTTTGGCTGTACTGAGTGTGCGATGCAGCAGGAGCCTGCTCACGATCCTGCCGTTCAGGGAGGCCTCCCTGAGAACTGCTCTGTGTACCGGGCAGACACTGGGACATGTGGTCCCTCCCGTGCCCAGCAGGCCTGTAATTGAACACGTAGGTGAAGGGGCTTTCCTTGGCGGGGGTCTTCCTAACATCCCTTCTCTGAATACTTGCTTATTTAGCCTCTGTTGTGCTGCATAGCGTGGAGGTGCGACAGCCCTGAGGCGTCCCTGACTTTGAAACTGAGATGGTTGATTTAAAGTTAAAAAAATAAACCTGTTGAGTTGTTTCACTGAGCAGTGTTGCCACAGTGGAAACAGGAGAACGCCGGTCGTTCCCCCTTGCCCGGATGTGCTTGGTTGTTTCACCTCAACAGAAAAAGGCTCTGAGTGAAGAGGAAGAGGAAGAAAAGAGATATGAAAATGGCAAACTATTTTCTAGTCTAGAAAAATGCATTGCCTAGTGAAAACAGCTGTAACTTTTACATGCAAGAGAAAGGGTTTTACAGGTAACCAGTGCATCCTGACGTGTGTGAGTAGCGGTAACAATCACTCTTCTTACGGTGGTAAACATTTGCTAAGGAAGCCTAGGGCCTCTGGAAAGATCTTTCTGCTGGGTGGCCGTCCTTGTTACGATCTCTTCTTTGAGTTTCGAGTTAGTGTTTTTAAGTCTCGGGAGGACGCGGTGTTGTAGGAGGTTTTGAGCAAGAGACGGGACTCCGGCACTTTGTGGATTGTTATCGCCCTGCAAGACCCTTCGCAACTTCCTCTCGCCGCCCACAGCAGAATACGGAAACCGTGCTGTATCAGGCCACTTCTGCAATTGCAGACGGTCACAATGCAGGGGCTCCTTCTGCCACACGGCACCCTCCTGGATTTACATTCTCCTTGCATTTGAAAATGTGTTCTCTGAGGCCGGACGCCCGACTGACCCTGCCTCTCCCCTCTCTCTTTGCCGCCCTGCAGTGCTGCAGTTGAAACTCCAGCAGCGCCGGACCCGCGAGGAGCTGGTGAGCCAAGGGATCATGCCGCGTAAGTGCCCCTTCTGTTCTTCTCCCTCCCCGCTGCCCGCTGCCTGCCGCCTTCAGGAGGTGCTGCTGTGGACCCTGCGCCACGGGAAGCGCCTGACCCGCAGCACCGCCAGCAGCTTCCAGTCTCCACTCTGCTTTCTCGTGATTCCTCAAGTCCAGGGCCTCTGAATCGTCAGCGGTTCAGATAACAGCCCTAGCTGATCAAGTTCGGTGAAACAGGCAGCGTTCAGGTTTAAGGAGTGCCATGGATCCACCCTTGGCTTCGGAGTCACACCTCTGAAAGGGTCTCTCCGCCCTGTCCCACTTCCCTTTCTTGCAGGGCAGCTGCTGAGCTGAGGTGTTGGGAGGTAGAACCCACTTTCCACGTAGGCTGTGCTTGGGAGAGAAACCTCTTTTCTTTCTTTCTTTCTGTCTTTCTGTCTTTCTGTCTTTCTGTCTTTCTGTCTTTCTGTCTGTCTTTCTGTCTTTCTGTCTTTCTGTCTTGATTTGTTTATTTGAAAGGTGGAGTTACAGAAAGGGAGAGTCAGAGGCAGAGAGAGAGGGAGAAGTGTTCCATCTGCTGGTTCACTCTCCCAAATGGCTGCAATGGCCGAGGCTGGGCCAGAGCAAAGCAAGGAGCCAGGAGTTTCATCCAGGTCTCCCACGTGGATACAGGGGCCCAAGCACTTGGGCCATCTGCTGCTGTCTTCCCAGGCACATCAGTAGGGAGCTAGATCAGAAGTGGAGCAGCCAGGATTCAAACCAGCGGCCATATGGAATGCCAGTGCCACAGGTGGCGGATTAACCCGCTGTGCTACAGTGTCATTCTTGAGAAACCTCTTTTCTGCCTGGTGTTTTGGATGAACCACAGTTTCACTTAGAGGGAGGCTGGCAAGGATGTGAGTATGACAAGGGCAGGGATGGGATGCGACTGTCACCATGTGGGCTTGGTGGCTGCAGAACTAGATCCCTCTGGCTTCCTGGTGGGAGAACGGATGTTTCCCCTGGCTCCATGCCCACTGACCTACTGCCACGATACTGCTGCAGCTCTGCTTCCTTGAAAATACTCCAGTACCCATTGCATGCAGTGCATGTGGCAAGATAAATCGTCACTGCTCTCGATTTAGAAGGGCAAGGCTGAGGGTGCACAGGGAGAGGCATGCCTAGGGTAGTCGAGAGCATGGCGAGTGCCGTGCAGTGAGTGAGCTGGGTGCCGTGCTCATGAGTGAGAGGAGGAGGAAGAGAGGCTCAGGCAGGCTTCCCTGAAGAGGAAATCGCTGAGCCGAGGCCTAGAGCTTGAGGTGCAGTCAGCCATCGAGAAAGCAGGAAGGAGGTGCAGAGAGAAGGAAAAGCAAGTGCAAGGCCTGGTACAGGCAAGACCTCCGTGTGTGTGAGAATCACCAAGAAAGCCAGGGTGGCTCGGGGCATGGTGAGTGAGGGGAGAGGAGGCAGGGGAGGTCCAAATCCAGACCTGTCAGTCACACAGAGGAGGTGGGTTTGGCTTTAAGCACAACAGGAAGCCATTGAATGAGTGGGTTCAAGCAGGTGAGATTAGGGTTCTCCTTAGGTCATAGTGGTGGTAGGTTCAGGGTTAGAGCTGTGTAGCAGGTGTAAGGAGTCTGAGGTCCGTTTCCTGTGCTAAATGTCAGCCAGTGAGCTTATGTCTCAGGTTAGTCTTTTTGTTTATTTCAGTTCACTACCAAACTGCTTACCTCCATTGGCCTGTTTTCCTCCATCGCTCCAGTGAAAGGCCCCACCCCAAACCCTTGACGTGCTGGTGGCTTGTGTGTTGGGCCAGTAACGTAGCCAGGCAGGGCAGTGCTGTGCATTACAGGACACTGGATCTGCCCATCTGCAAGCCTCGAGGAGAGGAACAAGTTACCCGGCATCTCATCTGCTGTCCTTTCCACCAAGGGCACCTCTCTGTGCCTGGCGTAGACCTGGTGGTCCAGGGACCAGGAAATACATGAGACATGGGAACTGCCTCCAGGACACCAGACACCACCATCTGTAAAACCAGAACTCAGCCTGTGCGTAAAACACAGAACGAGTCGGCATTGATGCGTGAGGCGGTGACAGTAGTGACAGTGGTGCTGACAGCATAGTCTGCTTCTGAGGGTCTGTCGAGGAGCTAAACGCTGTGCAGAGGGCGTGCCCGGCTTTCTCTCATTTAGTGCAAGAGGTCATTGCTTAACAGAACTTAGCTAGCGACTGTGACCTCTGTGCTTAGCATTTCTGGTGGTTTTCCACACTGGTAAGACGAGTGATGCCGGCGCCGGCGCCGTGGCGCACTAGGCTACTCTTCCGCTTGCGGCGCCAGCATCCCATATGGCTGCCGGTTCTAGTCCCGGTTGCTCCTCTTCTGACCAGCTCTCTGCTGTGGCCCGGGAGTGCAGTGGAGGATGGCCCAAGTGCTTGGGCCCTGCACCCGCGTGGGAGACCAGGAGAAGCACCTGGCTCCTGGCTTTGGATTGGCGCAGCTCTGGCCGTTGCTGCCATCTGGGGAGTGAACCAGTGGATGGAAGGCCTTTCACTCTGTCTCTCCCTCTCACTGTCTGTAACTCTACCTCTCAAATAAGTAAATAAAATCTTAAAAAAAAAAAAAAAAAAGGACGAGTGATGCTGAAGTTAGATCTCCTTATCTGCTTGTGTCTCTTAGATTGTGAGCTCCTTGAGAAAGTGTTTTCTGTTTTTCTTTTTAAGATTTATTTATTAATTTGAAAGGCAGAGTTATAGAAAGACAGAGAAACAGAGATCTTCCATCTGTTGGTTTGTCACTCTGCATATGGCTGCAATGTCCAGGGCTTGGGCCAGGCCAAAGCTAGGAGCTTAGAACTCCGTTTGAGTCTCCTACGTGGGTGGCAGGAGCTAAGCACTTTGGCCATCTTCTGATGCTTTCTCATGCACATTAGCAGAGAGCTGGGTCAAAGTGGAGCAGCCGGACTCCAACCTGTGCTCGTATGGGATGCTGGAGTCGCAGGCAGCAGCGTGACCCACTGTGCCACAACACCATCCCTAAGGAAGTGTCTTATTTACGTTTCTGTGTGCAATGCTTGGTCCCCAGTGACTGAGTGAAGGCAGCCAGTTGTAAATTGGTGGTGTGAGAGACACAGACAGACAAAGGCAGATACCACTCTCTTGCAAATGTTCTGGGGTTCTGGCTGCGGAATTTGAAGTAGCACTTCCCTTTTGTTGGGAGCCCAGACTGTAAAACCGTCTGAACATCTAGTTTTGCACTTTGATTGTTCTAACCCCGTGAAGTGGAGACAGGAACCTTTCTTACAGAGTGGAAGGATCCGCCCTGTGAGTGCTGCGTCTCCCCACCCCCCAGGCCCCCAAGAACCGCCCTCGGCTGTGGGCCCAGGGTTGCTGCTCAGCTCTGCCAGTGACACTTAGATGAGGAGAGGTGTGACTTTCCCTGCTCGTCTGTGCACCTGCTGCTGCACAGTTAGGGTCCTGAGTCCCCAGGGTTTGTGGCCAGCCTTCACCTGCCCCACTGCTCCCCAGCGTCCCTAACTCCTGCTGTGAAATCCCACATCCTCTGCCTCCCTGGCATTCCTCTATCCTGCCATCGCCCACTAACCCCACATCCACCCTCCAGTCTGTATCTTTTAATATTCCTTTTTTAAAAAAAGATTTATTCATTTATTTAAAGAGTTAGAGGGAGAGACAGCAAGAAAGGAGGGAGTAGAGGGGGTGGGGGGAGAGAGAGAGAGAGATCTTCCATCTGCTGGTTCACTCTCCAAATGGCTGCAACAGCTGGGGCGGGGTCAGGCCAAAGCCGGGAGCCCAGAACTCCATCTGGGTCTCCCATGTAGGTGCAGGGGCCCAAGCACTCAGGCCATCTTCCACTGCTTTCCCAGGTGCGCCAGCAGGGAGCTGGATCAGAAGTAGAGCAGCCGAACATGAAGCAGCGCCCATGTGGTACGCTGGCGCTGCAGGTGGCACCTCATCCACTACGCCACAGTGCCCCCCCCCACTCCGTATTTTATAAGGAAAATGGGAGCGGTGCTCGGAGCGATTGGGCGGCAAGCTGTTGGTATTTGGAGACATGCTACCTGCCCACTTCCGTTCCCATTTTGCTGGCCTGAAGAGTCTGAAAAGAGCCCTTAGGTTTAGTTTTTTGTACGGAGGAGGTGGTCGGGCCCTCAGCCAGGGCAAGGAGCATGGGCGTCGTTTCTGGTTTGTGCCTTTCCTCAGGTTCCTCTCACTGCAGCGAGGAAAACACCAGCACGTTCGTTACCCAGAGCGTCGCGCATTGTCCCCCACGCCTGGCTCTCCTGGGACGCGATGTGCGTCCACGGCTCCCTTCCTTCCAGGCTGCTCATGCCTCCGTTTGCCATTAAATGTTGGGGCGTGCCCTTCCCACAGTTTTGGGGGATTAGAGGTGCCTCAGATTCCCATAGACTCCTCTGCTGGTCCACACTGTTCACAGCATCTTCTCTGTGGGGTCGATCCTGCACTGGGAGGCAGGATCCTTCCCAGTACCCTTTTTTATCCTCTCCATGCAGACATGTGTTTAGATTTAACACCACGTAGCCCTACCACGTAGAGTGCCAGGTGGCAGAGGGCCCTGAACCTTCTCTCCGGTGTTCGGAGCTCTGCGCGTCCTGAGGGAGGACAGTGCATGCAGGAGCTGGCCTTGCAGGATGAGCTCACAGGAGATGGGCCCTCGTGTGGCACGTGTTCTCGAACACAGCTTCCCCACAGCCTCTCTCTCTGATGACTAGAGGTGTGTGAGGTCATGGGGTTAAAGTGAAAATTAAGAAAAACAGCAGGGAGGCCGTCGCAGGGCAATAGCCTTTTAAAGGAAAATGTGGAAGTTTTCCTAACCTGACCCAGACCTGACAAGAGTCTCCTGGAATCTTTCCAGATGGGAGAACGCTGCTGGTCTCTCCCTCCTCAGCCTCTTGTTACTCTGTTGAGAATCCTTGAGAAAAACACAGTAGCAGGTCTCCAGGCCTGCAGGTCCCATGCTGCGTCTCTCCAGTGCAAATAGTGGAAAAACCTGACACCCTGCCA